GTGGATATACCCTGGGAGATTCTAGGGAGTGGCTATCCTGAACCTCTTATGCTTCCCACACACACCTTGTGGACTGTGTTGTCTTTTCTCTCCTTTCCCTTCCTGGAATGCAACCCCTCCTTCCTGATACCCTTGCTTTCTGTTGCTATCCACCACATCACCGTCCTCTTCATAGATACATTCCATCACATCTTCCCACAAGCAAGGTCAATGGGGAAGCTGGCAACAAGTCACAAGTCACTCACACTTCCACTGCTTTTTTTGCCCTTGGTCATTTTGTTTCTCTGTTTAGGTAAGGAAATATCTCTGAAATGATGACCGAACTGGTCACGGGTTGTCTAGTAATTTATTCAAAATGAATAGGGCATAGAAAAAGGGAGGAGTGGCATTATATGTGAAGGAACCTATATCCAAATATTTGGGCACGAAGGTCCAAATACAGGAAAATGGAAACAATTATAATATTATTGTGAGGGAGTGCCATACACAAGGGTTTTTCAAACTGTGTTCCTTGGAACCCTAGGATTCCATAAGAACTTGATGGGGTTCTGTGAGAAACTAAGGAAAAAACAAAAAACCCTAATTTGCCTCTTGATCAGGGATTCCAGGAAACAAACAGATTTCACATCTGGAAAAAGTTTGAAAACTGCTATAGGCCACCATGTCTGGAGTGCCATCTGGGATATGGTAGTAATGGATTTTTCATTGGAGCAGGTTGTACTAGGTGATCTCTAAGGTATCTTCCAACCCTTACATTTTATGATTGTATGAACATTACTTTCCAGAATCTGCTATCATGTCCAAAAAATACACATTCTCAATTAAGACTACAATTCAAAGCAACCTACACATTATAGTTTAGTTTGAATGTAGCAATAAAGTGTAGTCTATCTTTACATGATGAGTCTGCAGATTTTGCAAGCATCCTTATTCCTTCGTTTCATGTACCTTTTCAATTAACTACTGTTCAGTCAACTAAATCTTAATCTCAACTATCCTTAAAACTAATTATAGTTTAATTAAAGTTAGTTTGTTCACTTACAATAAAGCATAATTTGAATTAATTATAGTTTGAGGATTGGACTTAATTCTAAGCTACAATTAGTTAACAATGAAAAAGGAACCTTCTGGTAGTCTTTTCTTGGCTAAATGGGAAGGAGAATTATAAGAGGCTTAGACATATATATACTGTAAGTATAAGCAGTTATTTAGTGCTACATTTAAATAAATGAGTTTGTTTTATAGAAGTACACCTATCATTTCTTTCAAATTCTCTTTAAACTCATTCAAATGAGGCTGAACTCTCTAAATTGGGAAATTAAGAAATAGCATGCAGAATGCATACAACAGCTTCATTCCTTTTTGGGGAAAGGGGAAATTCCCAAACTGTTTTTTAAACCTAAAGAAAGTTTGGATTCATTCCAGTACCTGCTTCAAGTATCCTTATCTGTTTGGATTAGGTGACTATGGGATCCTCCATACCTTACTATTCCAAAAGCCTGTTATAACTTAGATGCCAATACAACTAAAGGAAAGATGTATATATGATCTATCTGTATAGCACTATAAATCTTAAGAGATTTTGAATTTGTCCATGGACTTCTATACATCTGACTTTCCAAGGAGAAATTGTGAGCTAGTATAGCACATTCTGAGAGTTCCCTAAATCCAATTTAAGTCAGTGCAGTCAGGCATGTATTAGTCGCACTACACAATCAAAAGCCAGAAAGGAAGTCCTTTACTCAGATAGTAGATGAGAGCAAATTTGAGAACACTGCCCAGAAGATCTAACTATACCTTAAGCTTCACACAATTCACTCCTTCCTCCTGTGCATACATGACACCACTTTGCTTCTTAAATTCACATTTTTATTTTCCTAACAGAAATAAGCATTTCTAGATGTTTACCTTTTGATTTACCATAGCATAACTTCAATACTACAAATAAAAACTTTTAAGTAGTTTCTGATATAAACTTATGAAAAAGCTAATAATAAAACACTGACCTGATTGATGGAATTAGCTGCACACGATGAGAGGCCTGTTCCAAGGGAGACCAATAGGAAGCAGCTTAAGTCAAACGGCACGGGTGCAAGCGCAAATCCAGCTGAAGCCGTACCTACAACCAGGACTGTAATATAAACAAACAATTCAGCACTAATAAACAAGAAAAGAAAAAGACAATTTACATTTTTTCAATCCATTATAAGTTAATTACATTGTTAATAAGATATCTTTGTCCTGAACAACAGTGCTACATTTATGGAACAGCAACAATTCTGCCTTAAGAGAATGCAGGGAAAACGGCAAATTCTTCTTTCAATAAGAGTATTACTACACAGTGCTCTTCCACACGTAACTGGTTCCAATATTTTCGAACAAGTAGTGTTGCAACAAAAGAATTACAGAATCAAAGAACACTGAGAAACGACTGAATCTGAAAATCTTATATAATAATGAACATTTGTTAAGCACAATTTATAAATTTATTAGTGAAGTATGACTTATGTTTCTTTCTCCCCTTTTCTTTAATTACTTCAATTCTGTTGACCAGAAGGTTTTGAAGGTTAATAAAGAATATGTTTTGATTAAAAAATAGATATGAAATTTCTTATAGATGTACTAGAGTATATCAGCCATGATATTTTAGACTTGCTGGCTATCAGCCTGTATTTTACTGTATGTATATATGTATTATCTTTTATATTCTTTTAAAACTGTGCATTTGTACTGTTTTTTTCTCTATTCCTTTATTGAATCATAATATTTTTAAAAACAAAATAAGAAAGGATGTTCCCACAGAAATGTGTTTCCCTTGTGTACCTGTGCACTTTATGTGGGTTAACAATCTCCTCTAGGGAATAAATTATACCCCTTCACTGTCAGGGCTAAAACTTTGTGGAATATAGGCACAATCTTAGTATCTACACTATTTGTATAGCTCTTTAATTTGCCCTTCTACGCTTATAACCATTACAGGTAGTATATGGAGTACCATTCATCCACATTTTATCCATATTTATTCATCCACATTTGGAGACCACCTGACTCTGTAGCAACTCTGGGTGGCTTATGAACAAAAAGAACAACATAGAAAGAGGTGGGAGCAGCTAAAAATGCAAATGGCATTTGTTGCTACCTTCCTATTTGTTTTTTATCAAGTTTTGCTACACATACCAGGTTTCCATTAGTAAGGCATATGTTTTCTTTTACACTGTGACTAGAAGTTTAATTAAAACTTATCAGGGAGAGTGCTTTAAACTTATGTATAATAGCAAGACACCATTTATAAACAGGAAAATGAGAAGCAGTCTGTATAACATTATTATTATAATGCTCCCAAAAAATTCTAGCACACCAGAGCCAGTGTTCTAATTAAAGTCTTCATTGATTTCCACAAGTTAATTTCATTGCAACTTATCAGGATCTCATTAAAGCAGCGGTAATATATTCTACTTTATCCAATTGGGTGGCTATTGCTGTAAGCTTGCTCAGTATCTTATACCTGTAAACAAAGTTCTTAGTGTCAAGTACATCATCTCAGTCTTGGCTAAAGCAAATACATGTGTCAATTCAAACATATATTTTCAGCAATGCTTTTAACTGTTAAGGCAATGACTACTACAAAGTATTCTCATATTAAGCTTCCCATGGAGATTCTTGAAGGTTATAGTTGCCACAGAACATGGCGACCTATCCCAAGATAAAATGGTGTTACTGAACACAAGTGTTTCACATATTTATGAATTATAACCTCTGCATACCACAGACTCCATAGGGACTCCTGAAGATTTATACAAATCAAGAACAATACAACCATAAAGTCCTACAAATGACATTATCTCCTTTCACATCCAGCTCAGCAACAACACTTGCACAATACTCTTTGCAACAATTTCATTTTGACCACCCCTTTAATGACCAGTAAGGAGGGTTCCATCTAAATTTCTAAGAGTAAGGAATTCCATACAGATGGAAAGTATATTCAAGAAGCATTGTTTCCTCACCTTCCCTCCCTAAATCTTAGTCTCAAGACCCCTAACTTGGAAGCGTACTCTACTCAGAGTAGGAAGTCCTGTAGGTACTTAGGTATGAAACCATATAGGGCTTTAGAGATAACAACCAGTACTCTGAATTGTACTAGGAAATGTAATGGTAGCCAAAGCAGTACCTCAACACTGGTGTTATATATAAAAGCCCAGAGGCTTTCATTCACCAGAAGATGGGTTCTGCATTCTGTACTAACTGCAGTTTCCAGGTGGTCCCTAAAGGCAGCCCCATGTAGAACATATTTCAGTAGTCCATATTAGAGGTGATAAAGGCATGGGTGACTGTTATTAGGACCTCAAGCTCCAAACAGAACTGCAACTGATACACCAGGTGAAGCTGTGCAAGCCCTCCACCTTTGTATCTAGCAGCAACTATGAATATAGGATGACTCCTGAGTCACAGACCTGCTCCTTAAAGGACACTGTTATCTGGCACTGTTCTCTTGTCCAGAATAATAACCTCAGCCAAATGATAATCAGATATATTTTTTAGAACTTCTGGGGAAGCAATGGTGAAATTAAGAGGGTTCTGCTGAGAGTGGGAGCCAACAAATGAAGCAGAATGAGGAGCCGGTGAATGGATCGGCTTCTCAGAATTCTTTTCTGGACAAGGAGAGGACTTGGAATAGCCCACAAGCACTCCGGACAGTAGTTCCCCACAAGGAGACCATAAGGCAGCAGTCTCCGGCAGGTTTAGAGCTCTGGGAGCTGAGGGATTGCCATTTTTGTCCATGGACAGTGCTTTTACAGATACAGGGTTCACATATTTCATTTCTTAATCACTTCTGGAACTTGCTTGTTAATAGTTTTTTGGATATTATGAACCTTCAGAATGGCAAGTTTCATTACCCTGGGTAAGTTTCCTTCACTCCTTGGCAAAAGAAGTTTTAGGCAAATTTAAGGATGTAAAAATATATATATTGAAATAAACAGCAAAAGGTGATTAGAAAATTGATTTTAGGAAGTCATAAAAGTTATAAATGGACTAAGGGGCCAGATGGATTTGAAATAACATTTTGAAATTAATTACAAGAATCCTTCTGTGGGTTGTTTAGAATTCTATTAAAAAAAATGAAGATTTTGAAATTAAGTATAAGAAACCTTCCTGTGGGAAAATGCTGTTGATTAGGGGGAGGGGGGAAACCATGATAAGAGGGGACTTTGAAAGTTGGACATTAGAGGGAACCAGAAAGAACTAAAGATAATTAAAGGAGGAGAGACCCACTAATACACAATGGAGCAAAATACTCTAACTTTGGAACAATTCAAGGGTATTTTGGGAACAATGCACTCAGAAGTTACTCTTAAGATTGTCTGCTATCATAAAAATGGATTTAAAAGAGGTTATAGAAGAGGAACAGGTTTTACTGGACAAGACTAAGACTGATTCAAATGTGGATTTAAAAATGACAGGTTACAAGAATGATATGGAAAAAGATGTTACATTGAATTTACAAATGAAACTGGCTGATATCTTAAACATTAAAAGGGATATACCAATAACAAGGCAGAAGTGTGACTTGGATAACTTTCTTATTTTGGATTTACAAAAGAGACATGTTAAAGTTTTGAAGGAGTTTCTGAAAAGAAATAAAGAGAAAATAAAAAGAAATCAAGTTCTGGGACAGTATTTAAAGGGATTAAAGAGCAAGATTATTAAAAGCAAAGGGTAGGAATATAGTTGGTTTATTTGATCAAAGTTAAAAAATATATGTTGTTGTTTCTGGTAATTCGTAATGGATTTTTGCCGACCAGGACTGAATGATAAGGTTTTAAAGATTTATTTATAGACAAGAGATGAGATATGGGAAGAAGAGATATTTTGTTGTATTTTCAGAGAAAGTGATAAATTACTGTGAAAAGGAAAGGAAAAAAATATAAAGTTGGTTTATCTGATTAAGGTTAAAATATAGATGTTGTTATGCCTGGTAACTCTTAATGAACTTTTACTGGTTATGACTGAATGATGAGGCTTTAAGAATTCTTTATTTTTTTCTCTGCACTTTTTTCTTTTTATATTTTTCTTAGTTTGTATTAGTTTTTTATCTTTGTATCTGTAAACTTTAATAAAATTTATTGTAAAAAAAAAGATAATCAGATTAATTTTTAAAAATAGTACCTCTGTCTTATAAGGGTTTAATTTCAGCTTGTTTCTTCCTATAGAAGACATAGAGAATAGCCTTGAAGAACAGGAAGAAGAGCTGCTACTAAGGCAATGGTAAGATAAGCAGGGCTTGGGCCCAGGCCAAGAAACTAATTTTGGAAAATGTCTCAGTCAAGCCCCTCCCTAGTTCATGAGGGAAGGGAGAAGCACATTCAGACTTGCAAGATTTTGTTACTATAGCTGTTACAATAAAAGTAGTCCTGACCTATATGGCATTGGATTCTTAGTCTGGTCTACTTTAGGGCTGACATTTCTCTTCCAATCCTTCACAGCCTCCAGACATTGGGTCAAGACTTCCACAGGATCCCCACCCTGGCTTGGGTAGTGATGAATATCTGAGTATTATCATCTCATCCCATCCGGCTGATTGATATCTCCCAAAGGTTTCATATAGATAGTAAAGAATAGGGGTGAAAGGCATGAATCTTGCTGCATCCAGAAATAAGGAACTTCTGGGATTACCTTTCAGCCTCCCACCCACTGACTGAAACCATCCAGTTAGGCAAGAGTGGAACCAATGAAGCATACTACAGGTAGTCCTCGCTTAACAACACTAATTGGGACTGGCAACTCCATCATTAAGCAAAGTCATCACTAAGTGGTAAATCACGTGACTGTGACTGTGCCTTCCAGTTGAAGAGAGACAAGACTATTCAGTTTCACACCTTCAGCTTTTGTTTGCCTCCTAACCACTTACTCACCCTTTGAAATACTCAAGTGCCTGCTCACTGTCTTGTACACATCAAAAGCAATGCAATTAGGCATGCTATGCAAACAGCTTACTCTCTTGAAATCTCTTCCTCTCCAATCTCTCTGCTCTGCAAGGGGGGGGGGGGCAGAAAAAAAGCAAGCAATTTCTGTAGGCAATTTGTCCTTTGCCTGACCCTTCCCCTGCATGCCGCAGAGCAGAGATTGGAGAGGGATTTCAAGAGAGTAAGATGTTTGCTCTTCTAAACATCAAAAGAAATGCAATTGTGCTGGCAGCAGGAAAGGGTCAGGCAAAGGAGAGATTTCCTACAGAAACTGCTTGCTTTTTTTCTCCCCCGCACCCACCCTGAGCAGAGAGATTGGAAAGAAAACAATTTCAAGAGAATACTGTAAGCAATTCGCGTAGCATGCCCATGGCTCCCAGCTCCAGGCTTTCTTGAAATCCCTTTCTAATCAATCTGCTCTGCAAGGGGGGGGGGAACAGTTCAGCTATAGGATAATGCGTACTGACTGTAATGGTGATCATATGACTGAGAGATGATGAAGTCATAAATGGGCTGTAAAGTTATTTTTTCAGCAATGTTGTAATTTGAATGGTTACTGATCAAATGGTCGATAAGTGAGGACAACCTGTACTCTCAATTGCAACCCTTAGAAGTAGTGGAATGTCACTAAGAGGTCTAAAAGGACTAGGTAGGGTGTGTTCTCTTCATCCTGGGGCTGCAGGCAATATTTGCCTCCACCTAATTCATGATGTTCTTCATCATACAATCCTGCATTCAAACCATTGTTTTAAATTTTATGATAAATGTGTAGCTAAAACAAGGAAAAAGTGTAGTTTTGTTTTAATGGGACTAGTTAGATAGTTTCATATTACTCTAAATTTTAATTTTCCCCAAGGAAAGCTACAATTCTTCTAAAGTGTCATCAATATTTTTTTCCTTGCAGTTTCACACTTTGCTTATTGAAACACTGTAAGAGTAAAGTTGGTGGTAAGACACTCAGTTTCTTTACACAGTAAACCTAGATTCGTTTGTAGTTATATGCATCTTTCACCAGCAATTACATCATGAACATTAAAAAGAGTTCATATTGTTAAAATATTTTCAGATTTAACAGTAATTTGAAACAAATGTTAGTAAGACTTTTTTAAAAAATTAGAAATAGTCTTGAAAAAAGCAGACTGTAATGCTAACAACATTCACCCGTAATACTAAATCAGGATCATTAATACACAAGCCTCTGTAAACCTATCCTGTTCTAATTTGCTAAATAACCCAGCAAACAATTCACAAATTGTGCCAATTTATTTATCCATTTACTAGAATATGTGTTAAATCAGGATTTTTTTAGATTCTATGTAAGCTGTTGCCAGAGTTCATAATTATTTTTTTTTTATTCATAGAATCAGATACTTATTTCTTTTCTTCCTTCAAAGTGGTACAACTTATTGGCCTACTTAACACATAAGCTAAGACATAATATTGTATCTATGCTGTCCTGAGAGCCCAAGCAAAGAAGAAACAATTATCACCTACAACAGCTACCTAGAATCTGTAAAATCAATGTGATGCCTATATAAGAATGTGTATAGCACAGTATAGCAGCAAGATGCTTAGAAAATAAATTAAAACAAAATTTGACATTTTAAGAATGTCTGCTATTAATCACTCAACTGGAAAAAAAGAAAATTTTAACAGTACAGTTAGTCCTCACTTAGAGACCACAATTGGGACCGGTAACTCTGTTCCTAAGCACCGTGAACGTTAAGCAGAAAATCACATCACAACGACTGGCTTACCACCTCACTTCCCCTTCAGTTGTTAAGTGAAGTGCCATGGTCATTAAGTGAAACATCACATGACCGCGACTTACGATTTTACTTCCGCCTTCTCTATTAACTCTGCTTGTCACAAGCCAGTTGTGAAGCACACAATGGCGATCACATGACCGCAGGACACTGTAGCAGTTGTAAATGCGCAGAGGTTGCAAAGCACCTGAATGGTGATCATGTAACCTCGGGATACTGCAGTGGTTGTAAACTCAAGGATTGGTTGCAAAGCTGTTTTTTTTGCACCATCATAACTTTGAACAGTTGCTAAATGAGGCAGTCAGTAAGTGAGGACTACTTATATAGCAGATTTTTCACTAATACCCCTATTACAATATTTGGAATAATTTGAGGATTCAAATTATTTCTGAACTGTGAACACAAATGTTATTTTTTTAAAAAATGCCATGGACTTTGTTACAAAACAGCTGCTATGGGAACATAGCATTTATTACTAAACTGAATGCCTATTTCTCAGAATGCAAATTGATATAAACAAGTAACTTGTCCAGAACCTAAATGCGGTATAGAAGTAGCATCTGATAATTGAAACAAGCCACCGTTTCTGCTCCAAAATACCCATTCACAAAGGCAAGCCAATTAATATTCTCAATTTATTTCTAAATAAATTCATCTGTAATTCTTCATGCATTCAAACATGCCTACAGTCCCCACAAAGATCACCCTCTCCCTTCTCCACTTTTTATTCCTCCCTTCCTACTTCAAGGCCTTAGTGAACAAGGAATGTGGACAACCTGCAGGCCCTGCAGGCTCCTTTGACTATACCATCAAACATGAGCAGTTATGGGCAAACATGGGCAGCTGCCAAAAATCAGCTATACTGTTTTTCAACGGTTCTAGACAAAACCCCCACAAAAACTGTAAGTTCTAACATACAGGTGATCTTTGGTTAACAACCACTCATTCAGTGACTGAACTTACAATGATGCTGAATGAGTGGTACTTACAACCAGTCCTCGAAATTCTAGCCATCGCAGCATCCTACGGTCACATGATCACAATTTGCAACCTTCCCTGCCATCTTCCCACAAGCAAAGTCAATGGGGAAGCCAGCAGGAAGTCAAAAGTCGCAGTTATGTGAGGTCCTCGCTTAATGACCCACAGTGATTCGCTTAACAACAGTACCGGGACTGCTAGAATTACTGTCTCTAAGTGGCGCAGTCATATAATGTTGCGCTTTACAACCACGTCACTCGGTGATGGAAATTCTAGTCCCAATTACCGTCATTAAGTGAGGACTACCTGTATGCTCAATATGCTTTTAAAAAACCTGTTTTTGCCAATCCTCACCTCCACTCTCCACCTATTTAACTAAATAGCTCTCCAACAGGTACAGAGGCACCGATGTTCTGTATCACAGAAAAAACATATAGCAAAACTAGCAAAAGCAGCTCTTTTGATGCAGAGCTACCGATCTCATTGTAGCAGATATCCTGAAATCTTAAAAGCCACTAGAATAAGTGCGTGTATATCTCTGCTGCGTGTCAAAGACATTAAAGCCCAGCTGGCAGAAAATCACTACAAAGCTTATTCACCTGTGGAAGTTTTTTTCCCCCAAAACTCAATCTGTTAGTGATGCAGACTGGTTTAAAAATAGAACTATCCACACTTTTAAATGAAAATGTTCCCTACTATAGAACAAATAACTAGTCTAAATCCAAAGAACAGAAATTTCAAGGCAGCCTATGAAGAACTATATTTCAAATACAGTGAACAATTTGTGATGATGAACAATTTAAAGCCCAAGAAACAATGGAAATCGGTAACTGTGCCTCTTTATGTGGTAATATGAAAACCAAATCTCTAATGCTACATTTCCTTACATGAAGTGACTAATAACGGACAAGGAGCTAGGGCCACAATAATAGCACGTTTACTGAATTCAGGAGCTCTTCATTTTTGCTAAACAGATGTAAGACTAGGCTGTAGAACTTCAAAAAAAAAAAATGCACGAAAAACCAAAATAGAAAAATCAAAGAGGAAAACACATGTAATGAAAACAGTCCTATGAAAGAAAAAAAAAAAAAAGTACCTGTAAGTTTAATTTTGGTCAAACGAGCCAAAATGCCAGGCAAAGTATCCAAATTTAATTTCATTTCTTTCCAATCTTTTTCTTCTTTAGGTGCTGATCCTTCCACAGTTTTTGCACCAATAGTGGCTGCTGTAAGCTTCAATGTTTCTTCATTCATCACTGGTTTCTCTGAGAAGGGAGGCAGAAGAGGTGAAACTGATTTCACCTCATGGACAGTCATTGTCTCTTCACTTGAACGCTGTCCTTCCAAGCAAGGTGGTACAGTTGATTCTGGCTTCAGCTTTGCTTGCTGGAAAAGTGTTTTCTTATGCTGCATTACATACTGAAAAACAAAAACACTTTTTTTTGGTAAAATAACCATTTTAACTTATTTAGGCTACTTCATCATTTCCATAGGACCATACTTTCTACGTGCTTCTGAAAAAGTCCCTCTGTATTGAGTGAACTTGTGTAGGATAATTTCATGGGAGAATTTTTTTCTAGTAACACATTCAGTGATGTTTCTTCATTTTACAGCTTATTTTATGTTTTAAAACACTAATGTAAGGTTATTACTAACATTACCTAAAATTTTAGTTGAACGTTTCAGCTTTAATACTCTGTGAATTTCCACCATTTAAACCTGATCCATTTGGGCTTGCGGAAATATACAGAAAAATAAAATACAAATGTACCTGTTTTTCTACCTATACCCTACCTCCTTCACACCAATGCTACCTTAAATAAATAACTTACAATTCTTCCTTGCTGTACAAATTTAATCCATGGATGATGTGACTAAGAAAAATGTTTTGGTTCCATTAAAGAACATAAGTAATATAAAGGTTAATCCAAAGTAGAAACCCATGTGAGTGAGTGATTTTGAAGCCCCTTTCTGAATAACTTTGAGAAATCATGGAGGATGGGCATTCTACCATTGTGTTCTTATATCCAAAATGGAGAAAAAAGAGAATCCAAATAACTACAGGCAGTTCATCTTGAAGACAGTACCAGGTTAAACTCTGGAATGGATTATTGAGTAGTCAGCTTGTGAACATTTAGGGAAAAAAATGCAAGAACAAGTCATGCCAAACCAATCTGATCTCCTTTTTTGACAGAGCAACCAATCTAGCTGACCAAGGGTATACAGTGGATATAGTGTACCTTGACTTTAGCTAAGCATTCAACCAAAACTCCCATGAAATCCTAATAGAGAAAATAGCAAAATATGGGCTGGAATATCCTACCATTATATGGATACAGAGCTGGTTGCTCATCTGTCAGGGATGCTGTAGTAGCAAATTCCCGCATCCAGTAGGACGTTGGACTACATAATTTCCAAACTATGATTTAATATAAAGAATTTGGGCAGTTTTAACTACACCAACTCCAACCCTTTATATATATATTTATTTAGCCTACTGCACAGGCAGTTTTGATTGCTCTATCAATTATTTTCCATCTTAATATTTAGAAGGCACCTCTGCAAGCAGTGAAAAGATGTCTCTGATCAATCTGCTATGAGTTTCTCTACTTGTTTCATTCTCTTGTGTCATAGTTCATTCTACTCAGTAGGTTTATCAAAACTAGGAGAGCATATTCAAGAGGCTTTGAGGATTAAATGAAAAGAAAACAAAGTGAGTTATCACCCATCCCCTTATGCAGGAGGATATCTAGATATAACCCAAGAGCAACAACAATTTAATTTTGTCCCCACGTTACTCTTTCTCCCTTTAGGATGCTTAATGTAGGTATCTTCATCTTCTATTTGTAAATTCCAAATTCTACAGTGCCATCCATCAAAAAGTGGATATGGAAGCCTATAAAGAAAATGTGCTGGCTGAGATGGAAAGAAAGAAAAGAAGACAACAACCAGCAACAAAATTGATGGACTCAATTACAGTGATGATGGGTGAACTGTTGGAAGACGTGAAGGGCCAGACTAGTGACAGAAGGTCTTTCTATGTGGTTGCTAAGAGTTGACAATGACATGCTGGCTCATAATCAATCAATCAATCCAGAAATTGCACAGCTATAATCAATTCCAGCTCTTGATGTGGTATGCAATGTTGATGTGGTACACAATGTTACATTAAACTTACCTTTCGCCTGAAGAAGTTCAGCTGCTGAAATGTAACTCCCTTTACTTTGATGACTCTAAAGAAACATGCAAACTTGCATGGCATCTGTTGCATGGTTGTTTTTTTTCTTGGATGTTCTGCAAAAATGTTCCTGCAAGAGATAATTCTTTTTAAAAAAAACATTTGCAATAAATATTAGAGCAAATTACAGATGTGAACAAGAAGTGTGCACCAAACATAGTACAGTGGAAGTTCTGCCAAGCCATTCAGTATGAGCCACAATTCACCAAAACAAAACTCAGAACTTCTTTGGTATTCTCAGTAGTCTAAATAAAGTCTGCAGGGTTCCCAGTGCAAGAAAGGTAAGACTAGTATACATATTTCCCCTCTTCCCTGAAACTAACCCAGGCCATTCATTCATTCATTTATTTATTTAACATTGGTATACCATTACTTTGCAGAGCTACTCCCAACAGTTTACAATAACATAAAATACAAACTATAAAACAATAAAATACAAGTAAAAAGTATATTAAAATGGAAAAACACACAACAGAAATCCTCCACCCTAATCTCAATAGCAAACCATCATGCTCTAGGTGCTCTCTCAGACAATACTGCTTTCATGCCTTTATCCAACAAGAGCAAACTGGGAGCCAACCTTACCTTGTGCTGATCTTCCCAGTGTTTTCCCTTCCCTCCTCCTTCTGCCTCCACTCTGCTGCTGACACCAGTGCCCCAGTACAAGCATGTCACACCAGGCTATCTCCCTGCAGTGTTCCCAGACTCTTCCCTTCCCTCAGTTGTCACTGTCACCATCCTAGGGTGGCATGTCCTATTGGCCTGCCAGTACATTCCCTTCCCTCCTTTTCTCAGTTGCCATTCAGTTGTCACTGTCAATGTCCTTGAGGTTTTTCCCACTCTTATCCCCCAACACTTGTGCCCAGAATGGCTGTGTTCTGCTCCATAGCTGGACTGAAACATCCCCCTTTCATTCCATATTCAAATGTACACTTTAGCTCAGACATACACCATCTCAAAAACAGTTGTTCTGTGCATGACATTTTGCATTTTCCTAGAACAAAATTATATAGATCCTCAATTTCAACAGCAAGAGAAAGATTCACAAGAGAAGAAAGATAAAGAAAAAACATGAGATTACATACTATTTGCAAAACACAAAGGGAAATCATTTAGTATTTCTTTTCAAACAATCAAGCTAACTTTTTTCACTCTTACTACTCCCATTGACTATAAAATTGTTTATAACTAGTCAAGCATCAGTAAGATGGAACATTTACTTAAAAGTATCTCATAAAAGTACTGAACATTAACATCAGGGTTGTTTTATTTTATTGTTGCACCAGCTGCCACATGTTTATTACAGAACTTAAAAATTACTAACTATGATATAAGGTAACCATAAAACTTCAGCTTTTTCATTGTCATAGTAAAAAATCTTATGACAACAAAGAAAAACATTGAAATAATGTTTAAGAATCCAAAGTGCATGTTCATAATGCTCAAACTGATATATTATAGTTCTACTGAATGTCCACTAAAAAGTAGTTTCAGTATTTTAAACAAAATGTATCTTTAATAGCTATCTTTTATATGTAGATAAAATATGCTTGAGAGCTAGTTTGGTGTAGTGGTTAAGGCACCAGGCTAGAAACTAGGAGACCATGAGTTCTAGTCCCGCCTGAGGCATGAAAGCCGGCTGGGTGACTTTGGGCCAGTCACTCCCTCTCAGCCCTAGTAAGGAGGCAATGACAAACCACTTCTGAAATCTTGCCAAGAAAACTGCAGGGACTTATCAAGGCAGTTGCCAGGAGTCAAAAACTGACTCGAAGGCATAAAATAAAATATGCTTGTAAGTATTATTAATTTTTACATAGCAGACAAGTATTAAAGAGTACAAGTATTTAATGGGAACATAAGTCTCAAGCAAACAAACATTCTTCCAGCCTCACAGACATTTTAAAATTAGAGACCTTTTTACAGTGATGGGAAAACTTAAACACTATGTTTTTAAAAAGCTTTACTTTCACTACCAAAATTAGCACTATTAAATTAAGGATAAATATTCTGGCAAGTGGTCCAAGCAAATGATGGACTAGAAAAAATGATGACACCTAACAAAATTGAGGATTGCAGAAGGGGGCAGAAACGAAGGGATTACAGGAACATCCTTGCAAGAGCTTTGATTTAACGTCATGACTGATCAAGATGGCTACCATTTGTCCGTGCTGTCATCGAGACTAGAACTCGATTCAGGGATAACTAACTAATTAACATATAATGCATCTAAATATGTATTCCCTTTGTCTTTAATTATAGCTTATAATTAAACACAATCGCTGCCCGCAGATGATCTCAGGTTATACAGTTATATACTGTAACTGAGATACAGTTCCTTACGAAGTCTTGGAAAGCAGCTCCCAGTAACTAGCCAAGCGGCGCTGAGCTCGATGGACCGCCTAAAAACATGACCTCGACCTCCAATCACCCTTTGAACACCCGGAGCAAAGGCAGAGATCATGGGCATAAAAGGGAAGACGCATTCCTCCATCAACCGTTCCAATGCACAGCTCTTATCGGATAATAAATCCAGGGAGACGCGGTCGCTCTCTAAAGAGGAAGCAAGCAAGCAAGCAATCCTGAGGCATCGACCTTTCCCACACTGCTGTTACCTTGAGGCACCCTCCCCCAACCGCCGCGAAAAGAACAAAAGCAACGGTCGGGTGAGGCGTTTCAATTTCAGTGCCGGCCGAAACCTGAGGTAAGGCGGATGCTGGAGGGACCGGTTCGGGTCCCGGCGCTCAGCCTGCCCTTCATTTCCCTCAACACGACTCCCTGGGCGCCGCCATCTTGGACAAAAAAACCGACCTTTCCCGGCTCCGGATTTATCTTCATTTCCGTGTCAATAGGCGGGACTTCCGGAGAGGGCGAGGAACCGTCGGGGCTTGGGTGCTCGCCGAATGGGGCTCGTGAAGGTTGCCGCAGCGTTGGCGCCGCCTTTTCCCCACGGGGGATTTTGCCACGCGGCACGCTGAAGGCTGGCAGCGGGTTGCGCTGTGGAGAACGTAGGTTGCTGGTTCTAGCAGTAACGGAGCTTGGAGAGCTTGCAACACGGGAACACATTTTCACGCTTGCCCTTCAACCATATATTTTTCTTAATGGACTTCGAGTCGGCAAAGGTGCTTTCTTTTCCTGCACAGTAGCTCGGTCAGAGATTGAAGCGGCTGAGACAGTGGCTTCACCAAACTGTATGACAGCAAGGATTTCAGTTAATCGCTAAGCTCTTCCAAATTCTTTCACATCACACCCGATCCTTATCATTTCTCCAAGAGCCGGCCCCTTTACTTAGGTGGTCTTGTGGCGAGAATTCATGTACGTTTTTTAGGTGATGCTTTTAATTTGGGGGTGCCCAAATAGAGTGGGAAAGCTCCCTAAAAGAAGAGGAAGGCGAGCAAGTGCAGAAGCTTGTTCAGCTGACTCTTCCACAAAGCCTTTGCTACCAACAATTGTATAGGAAACTCATTTAAAAAGGCTGATAGACAGATTATAAGTTTCTTTGGGAGGATTGTTAGGCAGAAAGGCAGAATATAAATACATTTCAAATAAAATAAATACAATTAGTCTAAACTGATTTTTCTTTTCTTTGTTGGGGAAGGGAATGTATTTTTACACAATTCAAGTCTTAAATCAAAGAGTTGATCCCAGATGAGCTACATTCTCATTAAGAAAATAAATTCAATAGTAAGTCAAATGTACCATTCACAGTAGAAAAAAAAAAATACAAACTGCGTAAGTTTGTTCATTTGCTTAGAAATTCTTGGCATAGACCACTGCATGGTCTATGTTTAAGTATATCAGTGCAGTTTTATGGATGTCTGCAGAAATAGCTACTAGCATTGTTATTGTACCACCTTTAGCTACTTCCATGTACTATGGTGGAATAAAAGAGGGGCAAAGAGTATTTTCCAAAATTCCTGTGTCTGGTACTTCATGCTTTTCCTAGGCAGATCAGGAATGACTAATAGCTTAATTTATTTCTGAAGTATATAGCCCTTTGATTATTTATAAATATTTCAATTGCATATGTTAACTTTTATTTTACTCATTATGCAAATTGCTTTTTTATTTGTATTGTTTAACATCATTGTAAACTGCATATGAGTTTTCTGTACAAGTCAGCATAAACATTCACAAGTGTTGAATGTTGTTTGCTTTTATAGTTCTACATTAAGTAGTCTTGGTTCAGGATATCTGAAGGAATCTCTCCTCCCATCCTAGTTTCCCACTGATCTGTTCAAGAGCCCTTTTTTTTTTGACCCAAAAGAAGGCCCCGGTCAAATTATTGTTTATTTTATATTGCTGTCTCTGAGCAGTTTACATACCCAACTTATGTAAATCAGTTTGAAAGAATACATAGCAAAATACAACTTCCATCTCTATACCAAGCAACATAAAATTATACAGTATTACACAAATATCCCACTGCAAGAGAGAACAATTCCATCGCATATCAAGCCCCAACTTTTGGCAGAACAGCCAATTGGATGGCTTTCCTGAATTGCAACAGGATGTCACTTGACCTCCATCTTACTTTTTTTTTTTTTTTTGCTGCAGCGTTGTTTCCAACCACATTTGGCCTGCTAAGTTGATCATTTTAAGATGAAGAATTTTGAAAATGGTTTCATTTGCCAAGCTTACTTTTTTCATTCAGTTGGATTTTAAATGTAAATTTAATGACATTATAGCAGCAGCAAAGGTGATGAAAGATGTTATTCTGAGCAAGATATATATACTTTAAAGCACATGTGTATATTTGATTTGTTTTAGAAGCTAGATTCTCTATTCTAGTTGCAATTCCTTCAAGCCTGATCTTGAACCATAAGTTCCAAATAAGGTCCTCAGATAAACTAACTTTTTCATTTATTTCTTTTAATATGCACCAAAAAAAAAAGCTTGTAAGAAAGGAAAAAGAAAGGAAAAGAAAGGAAAAACAAACAAATAAATAGGAAATAGTTCAGTTTTTAAACAAAGTGTTAAATCTTGACTACATGGAACAGTCTTTCCATAAGTAGAAGATGAACATATACAGTATCATGAACCCAAGATTCCAAATTGTACAATTGTAAATCTGGGGCAGCACTGCCTTTCCATTATAAAAGAGTAATTGTATTTGCTACACCCCATGCTTGAGAAATCCATAGATCTTCATATAATGATCCATTCCAAATTTCTGTTATACAGTTCAGAATCGCATTCCCCCCCTGCCAAAATCTAATTAAGAATCATAATATTAAACCAAAACAGTACATAAGGGGACAAAATATGTTTGCAAGTATCCCCTCCTTTTCACAATTCCAGCAAAATTAGTGTGATAGCCAATTTTTTTTCAAGCATGCTGTGAAGTGTCCAATAAACATTAAAAAATCTTTTGTTGAATTCATTTCATCTTAAGATCATATCAATATACTTAATATTCTTTTAGACCTTTAACTATTGTCTTATTAATAGGGGCATTTAAAATCTTTATAATTCTTGCAAATATTTGTCTTACAAAGCTTCTTAATTGTCTATAACAAATACTGTAGATGGGGGTTATGCAGAATACATTCCAGTGCAGATAGTATCTCAGGAGTTTTAGATGCTGCTAATACCTCTGGGCCAAACTGTAAAATCAACAGATGTTTTAATTGAATATACTCTCATTCTTCAGTTTAAAAATACAACTTCCTTTTACAACACTTTAAAATGTTTTTAAAATGCAATTCACAATTTTACTGATCTAAAGTATTAATACCCCTATTTACCAAACCCTCCCCCCAAGATTTACCTGCAATTCTCAGCCTGGAATTATGCCAAAAGGTAATTTTATGATGTGAATAAAGATCAAATTATACTTTCATTGCAAATCTTCCAAATACGCCTTGTAGCCTTCAGGGCTGGAAATGCAGTACTGTAGAATCCTGACTGAAAAAGAGAGTTGTTGTTCTGACTTTGGGTGAGTGTGTGTCACATAATAACTTTCTAAATGATTTCATAATGGTTTTTGGACTTGATCATCTGGATTCCATAAAGACATAGAGCTCAAGATGTATGCCCAATGATGAATCTAAAAGGAAAGTTAAAGCCCCCATCATCATGCAATAACCATAATTTAGATAAAATCTGTAAGGTTGTCTTTCCTATAAAAGCCTTAGTAATTTATCAATCTGCTGGGGAATCCCTTTGAGTACATAGATCAATCTTGAAATAAACTTCATTTTTACAACATTTATCTTTTTCCATAAGCTCACTGGAATGTTTAACCATCTTTTTGTATCAAGGTTGATATGAGATAAGCAGTTTAAAATACTTACCTCTACAGATAAATAAATACATAAATAAATACCAAGCCAAGCCCCAAGTTTTGCATATTTCCACAGATACATTAGAACCTAAAAGAAGCATGCAAAATTTTCTTCAGTTAATTATCCTCATAACTTACACAACTGTTGTATTATAGTGGTAAAATTTGGTAGATAACATATCAATAAGAAATATTGTATCATTAGTATATTATAAGAATTTGTGTTCAGCTCCAACCAGTTTTATATCAACATTTTTGATTGTCCAAAAAGACAAGCTAGTGGTTCCAAAATTAAATAAAATATAAGAGAAGTAAAAGGGCATCCTTGATAAGTTCCATAAGATATCTTGATAGGTAAAGAAATAATTCCATTTGTTATAAACTTGACTGAACATTATAAAATTTATTATTTTTATCCAGTTAATTAAAAAAGAAGGAAATTTGTATTTGGCCAAAATGTGATCCCCAAATTTGAACTCCGCAATATCAAAATCGTTTTCCGTGTCCCAAGAGACCATCAGTTCCAGTTTTTCTGAACATATCTCTAAAATATCAATAATGTATATCTAGAATAGCAATTAGTAACCTATTATTATCTGAGGCTTTGTTTACCTTTTATAAAAATAGACTGTGTAGGATGGTCAGTCAATATCATGTGTAGTCTACATGCCAGGACACTGTCATCGTTCTGACATCAGCATTTTAAAAGAAAAGGAATAGCTTGCACAGCCAGAATATTTACAGCTTTCAAAATTTATTTTATTTAATTTATTTATTAAATTTTTCAACCGCCCATCTTCCCCCAATGGGGGAACTCTGGGCGATTCACAA